CGGCCACGTCTTTGTTTGGCAGTTGGCCTTTCTTCAATTCACAGCACACAGGGCGAATTAAGTCGGAGTTAGGGGCAGCTGTGCGGTTGCCTGGGGGATCCTTGCAAGGAGGGGGTGAGGTGGACTGGGGGTTGGGGCGGCTTACAGACCGCTGGGTCCTCCTCTCCACCTCCCACCGCACCTCTCTCAGGTCTCATTGCCCCCTAGGCCGGCCCCTAATGCAGGGTCCTGGGAGAAGCCGGCCCGTGGGAGCTCCTGGTGACTCCAAGGACAAGCCTGTCTGATCACAGAGACTTCCCTCTACTCTTTCTTTCCTCAGCCCCATACACAAGGAAGACTCTTATCACAGCCCTCTCTCTCTGGGAGTCCTGTTGACTATCAGCTTTACATTTCCCGGCCCTAGACTGGAGAAAAAGGGAGACTAGGCGGAGAGCCCATCTGCCCGTGCCCTGTGGAAAGCAGGGGCAAAGCTGCCTGTAACTGGTTCTGTTCTAACAGTGGGGCATAAGTTATGTGTTATTTCCTAAATCAACAAAGACTGTGCTTATCCAACCATGTTCTTTTGAAACTTGACTGCAGTGAGCTAGGTTACCCATTTACCAGGTTGCTAGGTCAGGGAAGCAGGATAGGCAGGGAGAGGTGACAGGGCAAGGCACTGGGGTACCAGCCTTCTTAATACCCCCGGAGCTGCTGAGAAAGGATTATCAGAGGAGACATAAAGAGGTCTCAAAAGGAGATGACTGCAGTAGTCCCTGTGAGAGAAAGGCCTGAAATGGGGGGTGAAATGGAAGATGCAATAAGTCGGAGTTAGGAACAGCTGTGTGGTTGCCTAGGGTCTGTAGAGCTCGCTGTGAGTGTTGTAGGAGGGGCAGACGGAGGTGGGGGCGGGGCGGTCTCAAGAAAGAGAAGGAAGAGGACCATGGTGGTGCTGTGGGTGTGAAAGTCGGAAGAAGACCTGGAGAGATGTGAGGCTGAGAGAAGATGATATGGAGGGAGAGTGTAGAAAAGGTAGAGAGGGCTGGGCTGAGGACAGAACCCAGTTCTAAGCAAGCAAAGGAGCCAATGAAAGAAACAGACCATCCAGGAGAGCCAGCACTGTGCAGGGCGTCAGAACTCAGGAGAAAAGGGCATGTTCAGTATGGACCCATGCTGCAGGGACATCAAAGTGGAAGGTTCCCAAGAAAACAGGAGATCTTTGGGGACTTTTGAGAGAATTATTTCAGTGGTGGGGAGTATAAGCCAGATTGCCCCTCCTTGGGGGCATCTGGACAATGGGTTAATGCAGGGATCCAAAGGGATATCTCCTTGCTTACGTTCTGGAGGATCTTAAAGGGCTATCCCAGCCCCAGAGTTTTCCAAGGGATCAGCTAAAGCTTCTGTGGAAACTGCATCTCAGTTTAAGTTTACTCTGCCCAACCCCATTGCCTCACTTTCGTACAGGCGTTGTTCCCAGGTACCTCCCAATAGACCTCCTGCATGCTGATCTCCATCTCCATTTCCATGCAGAGTCTGTTTCCCAGAAATCCAATCTGAAATATAGGGTCACTGAGAAAGGGAGAGTGAGAGAAGGAAAAGGCTGATTGGTTACTAGACTTACTGTGGTGACAACTTTGCAAGTTATATAAGTGTTTAAGCACTGTGTGTTGTACACCTGAAACTAATATAATATTGTATGGCAAAGTACATTTTTTTAAAAAGAGCATAAAAAAAGAAAAGAAAAGGTGGATGGTGGTAAAGAAGAGGGTATGAACATCCACACGAACATTAAAAAGAGAAGACCAAGCAACCTGGTGGGGGAGAGGCCTGAGCAAGCACGAAGCATGGTGGTCTCTCTCTCAGAACTTCCTGCAAGACCTCTAAGGAAGCAGACCTCTAATGCAGACCTTGACCTCCAATGAAGCAGTTTTAAGAGACAGATTGTCATAAAAAGTCAGAGAAGGTGGCATTAAAGGAAAAGACTGAGAAATGGGGAACAAGAGAAGGATAATTCGTAGTAGAATATGGGCTCTCAAAGGATGGGTAGAGGACAGAAGGGTGGGACAGGTCTTCAGAGGGAAAAAAATGCTGTAGTGGGGTTAGGATGAGGGGAAGTGAGTGTTCACTAATAATACTGAAACAGTAATTAGGAAAGAGAGGATTGGAAAGTGTTCTGGAACGACCTATAAGCAATATGAGAGGGCAAGTGATAAATGAAACTCTGGACCAGGATATCGTATCTCCAGCACTATCCCTAGTAACATTAAACATCTAGAGTAGTGAACCAGTAGAAATAGGATATGTAATTTAAAAAATCCCAGTAGCCACATTTGAAAGAGAAAATGTAAAACACGAAACAGGTGAAATTAATTTTAATGATACATTTTATTTGACACAGTATGTCTAAAATATGATCATTTCAATATGCATCAATATAAATAATTATTAATGAAGTAGTTTACATTTTCTTCCTACTAAATCTTTCAACTTCGGTGTACATTTTACACTCAAAGCACATCTGAATTCAGACACTAAATGTAAATTGAAACACGTGAGCCGTATTTAGATTTCATAACACTTGTGGTTGAAGAAGTAGACTTACAAACCTAAGTGGCTGCATACATACCGTTGCTTTCCAATAACTGAATGAAATGATCAGTTTTCAAATTTAAGTTAACATTAATTAAAATGAATTGAAATGGAAAATTTAGTCCTTCATTTGCACTTAGCACATCTCAAGTCATCAGAGCCACATGGGGCTAGTGGCTATTGCATCATACCGCACAGGTTTAGAACATGAATTCTTACACTTCTGGATTTTGATCTTTGTTTTGTCCTCAAACTCTATGAAAAAATGGACCCCTGGCCACCCATTGAGTGCTGCTCAACTAACAAGATCCTAATCTGTTTCATCTTATTTCACAGAATGCAGTTGAAGAAGGTGAAGGAGAAGGCTGAGAATCCAACATCTGTGGGCAGGGAGACAGGGGTATGGCTTGGACTAGATGAAGAATGAGGAAAATGAGCGTGAGTTGGAAGCATTCCACTCTGATTGTTATTCCGTGTTCACATGAGGAATGCAGTGGTTTCTTTGCCACGTTAGGTGCTCCAGAGATTGAACTGACAGTGCACAGGACAGCGCTTGTTGGCCTGAGCTTCCATTTTAGTAGTTTCCCTTGAGCTCTGAGCACTGGCTGGATCACAAACACATGTGTGTAGCTGCTGGTTCTGGGCTTTATTTGGGGGGCGGGGGCGGAAATGAAAGGAACTGGTGAAATCCCAAGTATGAAGCTACAGTGAGGATTAGCCCTAGATTTGGAGACCTGTGCCCCTCATCAGCCTGTGGCACATCTTCTGCCCCACAGCTGGAAGCTTCTGCTTTTAGTTGGCACTCTGGCACCATTTGCCTGCCCTATGTCATGAGGTGCTGGAGTCATGGAAGTTGTAGATGTAAAAAGAATAATAACAACACTTAGACTTCCTTTGCTCTGAATTGTCCCGTATCTATTACTTGGAGGTACTAAGTAGACCTGGTGAGGCCCTCTTCAGGCCAGCACAGGCCCTTGCTTCCCAGCAACAGTATCTTTAGGCATTCCTAGAAATGGAGTCACAGAAAATACCATTTTTTTGGGTGGATAGTTATACAAACACACACATACACAACACTGATAAGTATGACCTGGTATTGTTGGTACCCCTAGGATATACGTCACGTTAACTTAGCATTCAAGTTGTACCCTAAATCGTCACAGGTAAGGAAACGTAAAACTTGGATTTCTCCATGCCCTGTGTAACAAGCCTGTCTTTCAAAACAATTTCCAGTCATTACCTAGGAGGGTTGCAAGGAAACGAATGTTCCCTTGACAACCTCTTCTGCCTCACTGACACTCCTGCTCCGTTAAGCTGCCATCCTGATGTGGCCCTAATAAGAACTCTTCGTGCTGACTCTGAGCCATTTCTTAGGAAAATTGGCTGTGTTCTTGGAGGTAGAAACACCCAGGTAGAAAGCACTCCCCTCCGTATACAAATCACATAGCTTGTCCTACTCAGCCTGTTTCCTCATCTTTAAAATGGGGAGAAACTCATGAGATGGTTTTCTACCATCGTAGAGAGTGGAAACTGCCCTTCATTTCTTCATCCATATGAAAAATAGAGCTAAGTATGCTGTGGTCAGCACCTTTCCCCTTTCTGGAAGGACTGGGGAATGACCAGATGTTAAATATTGATCAGTTAATATTAGCTTGAATTCAACCTGCATTTAACTATGAACTTAATGACTGAGCTTACTCACCGTTACAACAATACGTGGTGCTTAATAGAAGGTGGCAAAGAAATGGTTATGAAATCGAACCTCACAGTCTCAGGTATTCTCATGGAAGAGATGTTACACCAGAAGTAGGAGTTTTTCAACTGTTGTGAGGCATATTTCCAGTGACACCAAGAACATGAGTTGCACTAATTAGTGCTTGAAATAATTATTGATCTGTGTTACCAGTGTCAGAAGCATTGCTCAGATGTCCAATTGCTTGTCATGTTCTCTTGGTATTCTACATGAATGACTTCATAATATTCCCAGGAGAATATTATTTCAGGCAAAACATAGAAAAACACAGTTAGGGTACAGAAAATGGAAGTACAGACAGCTGAGCAAATATATAAATAATATGCACAAGGACATAAATATTTATAGCTGGAATTTTTTGGTATGTGCAACACACTGCTAATCCTTCTCTTCTTCTCTGAGTTTTCTAGAGCCTGCCTCTATAACTGGGGCGTAGGCTATCCCA